TGAGTTTATTTTTTGATATATAGAGTTCGAAATTTCTCTCTCTTCAATATCCAAATCAAGATTTTGAGGAGATTATTTGAAATCTAAAGGTCTAGGGCTCAGAGAAAAAACAGATATGATATATATGTTTGAGAGTCATGGGAAAAAAACCAGTATTTTAAAACATGTATTGATATTATTATCTGGGGAGCAATTAGGAAACAGAACTGAGCCTTGGAACATATAGAAAAAGTGAGGCACAAAGAGAAGACTTTTATTTGTTCAACCTACTGTATTAATTCAGGAATAAGTACACCCATGTTGATTAATTTGGCCTGATCCAATGTCATATTTTATCCTCCTTGGTCTAACACTCTTATAATATATTCTCACATATTTCTCCTAGGTTTATGCCAATATAACTTAGAAAGATCTCGAATCTTTTGGAGTGTATCCTATTTCTTCCTAGGTTGGATTTTTCACTTGTCCCTAGTAGAATGTACTCAGATCTCTCTAGTTATAGCTCTAGACACAGTAGGGGTGGTAGGCATAGGTCTTGAGGAGAAAAAGCACCCCATTGAAAGAAAGCTTAAAGCAGATTCAAGATTTTCACCTTCTATCCAAATATCCCCACTCTTTCTAGTCAATGTCCTAATTCTGACTTAGGACACTTGGATCGTCTGTGAATACACTTTACATTTTGATTCTATAACTAACCCAAATACTTAAATGTTAAGTTTAATTTTCAGCCATTTCTGCCTTGCTGTATACAAATAAAAATAAATACATATATATAAAAGTATGAGGGTTTTTTTAGGATCACAAAAGAAGCTCTCTATTTGATTTAACATTGTTAAATTCCTGAACATGTCATTTTCCTTTTTTATGGTATCCAGGGCAGACATAAATAGCCATTCTACGAAAAGCAACAGAGTATGAAGTTTAGGAGCCAAAAAATAGAGTTATTTAAGAAAGAAGGAGTGATCAGTAGAATTAATAGTAACATTTATTGGGCACTTACTAGGTGCCAAGCTATGTTCTAAGAACTTTACAAAGATTCATTTCCATTATTCTTACAACATTTCTATGAAGTAAGTACTATTTTCGTCTCTATTTTACAGAGAAGGAAACTGAAACATAGAAAGATTTTTCTTTAACTAATTGCTTAAAGTCCCAGCTAGTAATTGACAGATCCAGGAATCGATCTTAGACCTTCTGACTCCAGAGTCCACAGTTTTGACAATTACTTTATACTAACTTCTCACTAAAAGTGGTCAGTGCTACTCAGAGAGAAGTAGGCCATGGAACAGGAAGTTGATTTTTGGATTTAGTGGTGTGGAGGTCATTGCTGATAGTAATGAGAGCTGTTTTATTGGAGCAGTAGAACATGAGGCCTGTCAGAGTACGTTAAGGAGAGAGTGGGGAGGTAAGAAGAGGATACAGTGAGGGTCCTCAACTTTCTCAAGAAATATGACTGCCAAGGTCAGAAGAGGAAGAGAGATAAGATGATAGAAATAAAACTGAGGTCCAGGAAAGTTTTGTTTTTGTTTATGTTTTTTGTTTTGCTTTTAAGATGAAAAGAGCTCTTTAAATGTTTATGAGAAGGAACTGTTGAGAAAGGAGGTTGATTATATAGGAGGGCAACAGGATAATGTGCATGCTTCCTGGGAAGGTGAGAGGGGATTGAATCTAGGGCGCTGATGCAAGGACTGACCTTAAGAGGATCAGGAACAATGCTTCTTCTATTTGAACAAGAGGAAAGGAGACTAGAATGGGTGCAAACGCGATTAGTTTTATAGGTTGAGTGGTTGGGAATTAAGGGTGTGCCCATTCCATAGCTTCGATTTTTCTCTTTTAGCAAGTAAATTCACCTGGACCTGAAAAATTGTGAGTCTGTTGTGGTGTAAATAGAAGTTGAGAAAAGTGTAGAACGTGTGAATAATTGAGGCCAGTGAGAGATTTGTTAATGACCTAGATGAGGTCGGTGATGACAAATTTATAGTGTTACTTTGTTCTGTTTGTTATTTCCTCCAATATCATTCACTGCCCAAGACATTAAAAATTGATTCCTTTAGGATTTATTTTTATTTTTGCTAAATGAATGCAATGAAAAAACAGAAGGAATTGGCATTTACAAGGAAAAAAGTAGCTGAAATAATGAACCATGGAACCTTAACTAAACAGGAGGATAGTAAAGATAAGAATTATGGTTATGGTTATGGTTTTGGTTGTGGTTATGGTTATGGTCATAGTCATGGTCATGGTCATGATCATGGTTATGGTTATGGTTACGGTTGCAGTTAGTGTTAGGGTTAGGATTGGAATAAGGGTAGGGTAGAGTGTGGAAGGGTCAAAGGACTAAAGACCCTGAAAAGGTCAAAGAGTAGTCATCATAGAATTAACTGAAAAAATTACCTTATGGACAGAAGATGATTTGAAATTGATTAGCTTCAGGTTATGGCCAGGTCCAGATTAGGGCCTTGAGAATGGCTGTCAGCGTGAAGTAGAGGAGAACATTGGAAACAAGCGGTTAGGTTATAACCTAATCCAGAATAGGTTGGCCATGGACCTGGAAATCTTACAGGATGATAGCAGGAATCTGGAATGAAGAGGAAGCCTATCTGTAACTTAGGTGTCAAGACCTTCAGTGAAAGAGGTGGGGTTGTTGAGTGGTTGGGAGGTGCCACCTATAAGGGATGAGAGTGAATGGTATGACTGAGGCAAGCTTGACAGCAGTAGGAGTGCTCACTGGACACTGAGAAAGCAAATGTCTGAAATCTGCTAAGCTTACAGCTTGATGCTTAGTATATGGAGGTGACAGAAAAATAAAAGCCGCTTCTTAAAGCCTACAGGTGAAATTGGTTTCTCAAGAGAGTCAGGGTCCAGTTGAGGCAGAGATGGAAGGAATATTCTAAACAGAAGTTGATGGTATAGAGGAATTTTTACATTGTGGAATAGACCTTTTCAAGGGCATTGTTATATGAGGGGAAGAAAGAAGAAGGCAGATGGGCTGGGCGAAGTTGTCTTAGGAAGGTAAACAGAATCATCTATTGCAAAATATTTTTTTTGCAACAGATTATACTATTTTTTTAAAGAAGTCACTAAGACTTTGGGCATTGACTAATTTAAGCTAAAATTAAAGGCCTGGGGATTCATGAATTTTGTCCTGACAGTCTCTTTGAAGGAGGTGGAATTGTGGGACTCATAGACAGTTCCTTGCTCACCCAAGGGCTTGAAGCCATGTTGGTTTGGCCACGGAAGTCTCAGAGCAGAACACAGAGCTTTGAGTGGTGCAATGGCCCTGTCTCTGCTGGCCCAGCATGTTTATTATTTCCCTAAATGTTTATAACTTTGACTACAATCTGTTATTGCATGTACCATTCTGGGTTGCATTTGTTTATTTACAGGTTTCCCCTATTTAACTCTGGGTTCTCAAAGGGCAAAAACTGAGTCTTGTCTTTTTATCCTTAGCTTTTATCCTAAGCACTTGGCTTCATGCTCGTTCAATAAATATTTGATCCAATGACTGTAAATACACTATTTCTAGTCCGAGTTAATTGTACTGTCTACTACTCAATATAGCTTATCAATGCTGTGCACTGCTTTGTTAGTTCATGATGACTTCCAAAAAATTTTGAAGTCTACATATATAGAGAGGTTGGATACAAACAAGAGGAAGAATGTGGAAGCGTCAGTTTGTGTACAGATCACTGATAAGAGAGAGAGGAAACCAATTAGCATTCTTTCCATTATCAGTTGTTTTCATTTGTGTTATGATGACCTGGATAGGCTCTCCCATAAGAACTAAGTAGTGAAAAAGTAAATAGATAAATAAAAGAGGAATAAGTCAATTGCTTGACTGCATTTGATACTTAAGTAATCAATCTGAAAGAATTATTTCAAGAATAAATGGCTTACTGGGCTCTAGTTGATTGTTCCTACTTGACATTTTACAATAAAACACCCTCCCTCCCTTGCATCATCAGATAATATAGCCAAACTTTCTTAAAATGAATTAAATCTCATTCATTATGTCAAAATTCAATCAGAGCTTTAATTTTTTAGTGATGTCCAGTTATAATTTACATCTTTCCTATTGAGTGAAAAACTTTTTTCCTGTTCTCCTAGAATTCTGAAACTTTTTATACTAGTTGGATTGTAATTCCTGACCACGGGCTTTTTAGGGCATGTTATAAAACAGTAGAGAGTGTGCAGTTTCATCAAACACTATCAAATATAGCTCTTGCCAAATTCCAGGGGTGACAATATGTAATAGTTTTGTAGGGAGAAGCAGAATAACATTTCACAAGGTGAGGTTTTAAGCTGATCTCTAACACAATTACACTTCCCTTTTCAATCAATCATAGAGTTGTTTGTTAAGGTTTTAATAATACTGTAATAAACATTATTATAATTACCACTTATCAAGTGCCTACTCTGTGTTAGAGGATTGACGGTATCTCGCATTATCCTAAAAACAATCCTGAAAAGTTCCATATACAGCTCTCAGACTACACATGATAAAACTTAGGTTCAGAAAAGCTAAGTTATCTGCAGTCATAAGGTTTTTAAGCAAAGACCTGGAATTTAAGACCAGGTTTGCTAACTCCCATCCCCATGCTCTTTGTGCTATGTCACATTACCTCCATGCCATATCATGTTTACCAGTGTTTCCTTAGGAATGGAGGCAAATGTGTGTGTACACACACAAACACACACTACAATAAACACTGGCCAGGACATAGAAGAAATCAGGCCCGGTTGAATGAGAACTATGCAATGATTCTAACAAAAAATTTAATATTGTATGTCTTCGATTCCATGTTGAGCTTTTTGTTTATCCATTTTAGTGGAGAAAATTGTATTTTCTGCAGAAGGATCCTTCATTTCTTGTAGTTTTTTGACATTGCTATAAATTTTAAAATGAAGATAAATAGTAGAAGGATGTTTCATACAAATAAAAAATGTTACTTTATTCTCAAAGTCAGTCCACTAAAACCAGAAACTTTATCTTTGGCCAGGATTATATTTCCACGCTCAAAGAACAGGGCCATGAATCTAATGTTGGCCAAGATTCCTATACTTGACAGAGGTACCAGTTCATCACAGCAACTTATATAACCTTGAAACACAGTAAGCATGTTCTTTGTTGTCTTTTGTGTGTGTGTGTGTGAGAGAGAAAGATTTGCCCTGACCTAACATCCATTGCCAATTCTCCTCTTTTTTGCTTGAGGAAGATTAGCCCTGAGCTAACATCTGTGCCAGTCTTCCTCTATTGTGTATGTGGGATGCCTCCATAGCATGGCTGATGAGGGGAGTAGGTCCATACCTGGGATCCGAACCCACAAACCTGGGCCGCCAAAGCAGAACATGCGGAACTTTAACCACTTGGCTGTGGGGCTGACCCCTGTTAGGGCATTTTAATAATTATTGGTGAATTGAACTACAGGTCCACAGTACATTACCTACAATTCCAAAATCCAAAAATCTTTAGAAACTGAAAATTTTAGAGGAGTGTGGTACTAGAACTCATTTGGCTCAAAAGCATGTCCTAAAAATGACATGAGGCTATATATGGTCTTTAACTTACTTGGTATGAATTTCCATGTGTTTCACACGAGGAATATTAACATTTTAACTAAAGGATGCTGCGGCTGGTGTGTAATATGGTATATGCACCACGTCACTATTCTATAATTCAAAGAATTCTGGATCCCAAAACACATTTGGCCCCAAGAGTTTAGGAAAATGAACTGTAAAATTTCATTTCTCTTTCATGGTCAGCTCTGTTGCAATTAGGCAAAAGCTACGCTAAGTTTATATAACAAAGTTTCACTAATTCAATATATTTAAAATTAAGTTGAAATAATGGGACGTATTTCGTAAGTAATTTATTAGTGTATAAATAAGTAGACTTCCAAGGGGAAGCATCTACCCTTTGTAGAGGCACATTTGGTCTTTTTTCTTTTACTGTGAAGTCATGAGAGTTCAACACTCAGGATATAGGGCATTCCCATCACACCAAAAAGTTCTTCAAGCCCTTTTGCTGTTAATGCCCTCTCCACTGTCGCCATGGCAACCACGCGTGCCACTATAGAATGGAGTTGTCCACTACATGTTCTTTTCTGTCTAACTCTTCTCGCTCAGGTTGATGTTTGGGGATTCATCTATCTTATTGCATGTATCAGTAGTTTGTTTCTTTTTTTGTTGAGTAGTATTCCAATGTATGAATATTTCATGATTTGCTTATCTATTTACCTGTTTGGGTTGTTTTTAGATTGGGACTATTATGAGTAAATTTGCTATAAACTTTCATCTGTAAGTCTTTTTGTGGGCATATATTTTCATTTTTTCTTGAGTAAATACCCAAGAGTGAAATTAATGAATCCATACAAAAAGTATGTATTTAACTATAAGAAATTACCAAACCCAGGGCCCACCTAGTCGTGTAGTGGTTAAGTTCACATGCTGTGCTTCAGCAGCCCTGGGTTCACAAGTTCAGATCGGGGGCTCAGACCTACATACTGCTCATCAAGCCATGCTGTGGTGGCATCCCACATGCAAAATAGAGGAAGATGAGCACAGCTATTAGCTCAGCAACAATCTTTGTCAAGCAAAAGGAGGAAGATAGGCAACAGATGTTATCTCAGGGCCAATCTTCCTCACCAACCAAAAAAAAAGGAGTATTGTGTGTCACTTCAATAAAATCCCACCACCACACTTAAAAAAAAAAAGAAATCACCAAACTGTTTTCCAAAGAGGTTTACCATTTTCCACCCCCACTAATAGCATATGAGTCTCAATTGCTACACATACTCAACACAGATGGTATTGTCAGTATTATTGTTTTTTTGTTGTATTGTTGTTTTGTTAATTTTAGCTAGTTTAATGAGTATGTAGTAGTATCTTATGATGGTTTTAATTTGCATTTCCCTGATGACTAAAGAAGTTCAACTTCTGTGTCTGAGCTTATTAAGCCATTTGTATGTCTTTGTGTGAAGTGTTTGTTCAAATCCCTTCTCCCCCAACCCCCCCAGCTTTTTGGTCATCTTGTTAAATTGTTGTGAATATTTCTTTCAGCCTGTGGCTTGACTTTACATTTTCTTAGTAGAGTTTCTTGCAGAACAAGTATTTTTACTTTTAATTGAGTCTAATTGAAAAAAAAAAATCTTCTGGGGCTGGCCCTGTGGCTGAGTGTTAGGTTCACGTGCTCCGCTTCAGCGACCTGGGGTTTCACCGGTTCGGATCCTGGGTGTGGACATGGCACCGCTCATCAGGCCATGCTGAGGCAGCATCCCACATGCCACAGCTAGAAGAATCCACAGCTAAAATATACAACTATGTACCGGGGGGACTTGGGGAGAAAAAGCAGGAAAAATAAAATAAGATGATTGGCCACAGTTGTTAGCTCAGGTGGCAATCTTTAAAAAACAAAATTTTTCTCCTAAGAAATTTTTGCTTACTCTAATGCTGCAAAGATTGTCTTTGATTATAACTATTCAAAACTAAAACCAAGTCTCTTTTTGCTTCTCCTTTTTTGAGTGGGAAGCTGGGCCAGATAAATGATAAATTCCTTCTTAACTAGTATTTTTTATATTAGTTCTTGAGATTGCCTATGACAAAAGCTGTACTAACTATTTTTCTAAATAATATGGCTGAGTCAGAGGTTGATATTTCCAGTTCTCAGTGAACATACACTATTAGGAGAAACTATAGTTCAAGGGTGAACGTGTTAAGTGCCTCAAGAACAATATAACCATGTTTCTAAAGATGTTCTAGGCACCAGAAGATCACTCCCAACTCCATAAAGCAAGAAAAGCTTTATGAAAAAGGTAGTATTCAACCTAGGCCATAGGTGATGGCAGAATTTTGATAGACAAGATGAAGATAGGGGATCCAACATAGCATGGTGTGAACAGGAGCATGGAAGCAAATTTTTTAATATAGACGTATTAGACCTAAGGTTGGAAAAGTAATTTGGAGGCTGGGTAGAGGGATGGTTCATGCTGTGTTAAGTGCTGCTTACCTGATAAGTAGTTGTAGGTTCTTTCTGAAGGGACACCCATTGATGGTCTCAACAGAGAAAAGGTAAAGTCAAAGAGGTGCTTTACACCAGTTTTCATTCAGCTTTGATGAGAATGGTTCAAGGGCTGAAGATATTGGAAAGAGAGACCCCAATGAGGACTAAGCTGAAAGGGAACGGACTTGACTGCCTAGTATTGCATTTATCCTTTACTTTTTTCATGTCCTGTCTCTCCATCATGATTGTGAAGTTTTTTAAAGGGTGGAGTTGTGACTTATTTCTCTTTTCATATTCACCGGCCTCTAGAGTAAACCACACAGCAGTGTTGATTGATACTTGTTCAGTCCAAAGAGAGTGCAGGAGGATGGCAGAGAGAGAACAGAAATTGCCAATTCCAAGGAATCTTAATCCTGGTCTCATAATTAGAATTGCCTTACAGGACATATATCATATTATATCAGAATCTCACTCATTTAGAGACCAGTTTTGTTTTGGGTCATGTGAAAATCGGGAAGTCACATTTGCCCTAAACTCTCTCAAATTCACTTTTACTATCTATAAAATGAGAGGTTGCCTTTTATCTCTGCACCTCCAAACATTTGTAGAAAACCAACATGTTATTTCTTTCTTAGATATCATTTAATGTGAGACTATTTACATAGGGGTCTTAAAAGTGGTCATTTTGTGTTCTAAAAAATGTTATCCCAATATTAGCATTTAGAAAGAGCAACACAGTGAATCCTTGAATATGCAATTTGCAGGGTATTGAATTTTTTCTGTTTGGTGATGGAATCCTCACCTCTGTTTGGTGATGGAGTGATTTCTGTAAGCATTTCTCAGCCTTAATTACAGGTTAGCTTTTATCACATCATACGTTGATTTAATATAATATGGCCATTGTGACATGGTTTCAAATTCTCCATTTTTCTTTTCCTATTAGTGCCTGAATACATGTGTCTTACTTGTGGGTTTAGAAGAAAGCGCTTGTCACATATTACTTTTCCACTGTAATCCCCCAACCATCAACTTGAAGGAAAGGAAGGAAGAAAAGAAGAAAAGGAGGAAGGAAAGAAGGACGGAAAAAGAGTAGACCACTGGTCGCAGAGTGCTCCTTGGGTTGAGAAGGAGAAACGACAAAGAAGGGAGCCCTGCTGGAGCCTCTCAAAACTGAAAGAGCACTACAGTTTCATTCACTGTCCCCACTACTAGTCTTCTGCAAGCCTTAAGAGTTATATTCCTCAGTTGGAGAAGCTTTGATCCAGTGTTCAGTTAATAAAATAATTTTTCCAGAAATTTACATTGGATTATATATATGGTAAAATAATGGAATTTTAATATTTAACTCGTTTGCTTGTTTCTGAATATCATTTCCCAAGGAATTATATTGAACTTTATTAACTTAATAAAAAAATACAGATTCTGTGTTACGTAAAATAATGGCACACTGGTTGCTTAATGATTTATAAGAATTAATTCTTCATCTTAAATGGAAGAAATTCTAAACTTTCAACATTTCAAGCATTTCATTTTGTTTTTTATTTACAAAGAGAAATAAGAAGCTCTCCAGAGAAAATTTCTGTGCAAGCAAAATGTGTTCCAAAAAGACTTGTGAAACTCTATTTGATATTGTTATCTACTAAGAGAGAGAATGAAATTATCACTTGATAAAGCCCAAAGAAAACTTGATGGTCTCAGATAAAATGAGTGATCTTTGCAGAGGAAAAGTACTTCACAGAAGCCGGAAACTGGGACACCAAAGGGAGGAAACTGGTACTAGAATATTTCACTTAATGACTATATGACAAGTCCATCACAGGTCATTATTTACAGGTCATTTTCCTGTCAATTGTAGGAATCCTGGCCTTAATCATTTGTGTCAACACACACTTCCGTATAAAAACTTCCAACATGATACAGATAATTCTGAGAAACACGATATGTGTTCTGACAATTTTGTGCTTTCCTTTTGACTCTGAATTTGCCAAGATATTTCCTGTTAACTCCTTGGCATGAGTGTTTTTAAGTGTCTCTTACTGATGCCAGCACTGGGTGTCATGCTGGGAAAATCCAGTTTTTGAAAGGAAAATTACAAAGCATTGTGGTCAGCATTAAATTTAAAGGAACATTGCTACTACTTTTAAATACATTTCCACAGTTAGGTATTTGATTATTTTAGACAGAATTTCTTTGTAGCATCATAACAGAATTTCTTTTTTAGCATCTTTACAGAGGTATAATTGATATACAAAGAACTGCACATATTTAATGTGTACAATTTGATGAGTTTGGACATATGCAAACACCCGTGATACCATCACTACAATCAAGGTAATAGACATATCTAACACATTCCAGAGTTTCCTCGTGTCCCTCTGTTTCGTTTTATTTTTGGTGGTAAGAACATTTAACTTGAGTTAGACCCCTTAACAAATTTTAAGTGCACAATACTGTATTGTTAACCCTAGGCACTCTATTGTACAGCAGATCTCTGGAATTTATTCATCTAGCATAACTGAAACATGCTCATTGAACAATAACTCCACATTTCTTTCCCCTGCAGCCCCTGGCAACCACTGTTGTATTCGCTACTTCAATGAATTGGACTACTTTCGATGCCTCATATAAGAGGAATCATGAAGTAATTGCCCTTCTTTAACTAGGTCATTTCATTTGGCGTAATGTCCTCTAGGTTCATCCATGTTGTCGTAAATAGCAGCATTTCTTTCTTTTTTAAGGTTGAGTAATATTCACTGTATGTATATGCCACATTTTCTTTATCCATCCATGTGTTGATGAGCACTTGGGTTGTTTCCATATCTTGGCTACTGTGAATAATGCTGCAGCAAACATGGGAGTGAAGATATATCTTCAAGATCCTGATTTCAGTTCTTTTGGATGTATACCAAAAGGGAGATTGCTGGACCATATGGTAGTTGTCATTGTAATTTTTTGAGGAACCTCCACAAATTTTCCCATAGCTGCTACATTATTTTACATTCCCATGAACAGTATACAAGGGTTCCAATTTCTCCACATCCATGCCTACTCTTATCTTTTCTTTTTATGATGATAGACATCCTAACAAGTGTGAGGTGATAGCTTGTAGTTTTGATTTGAATTTCCCTAATAATTGGTGATGTTGAGCACCTATTCATATGCCTTTTTGGCCATTTGTAAATCTTCTTTGGAGAAATATCTCTTCAAGTTCATTGCCCATGTTGTAATCAGGTTGTTTTTTGCTATTGAATTGTAGGAGTTCCTTATATACTTTGGAAATTAACCCCTTACCAGATATACGGTTTGCAAATATTTTCTCCCATTCTGTATGTTCACTTTTCACTCTGTTGATTGTTTCCTTTGCTATGACATAAGCTTTTTAGTTTGATGTAGTTCCACTTGTCTATTTTTGCTTTTGTTGCCTGTGCTTTTTGTGTCATCTCCAAGAAATCATTGCTGAGACCAATGTCAAGAAGATTTTCTCCTATATTTTATTCTAGAAGCTTTATAGTTTTAGATTTTACGTTACATCTTTAACCCATTTTGAGTTGATGTTTGTGTATGGTGTAAGATAACAATGCAATTTCATTTTGTTGTTTGTGGATGTCCAGTTTTCCCAACACCATTTGCTGAAGAAACTGTCCTTTCCCCATTGTGTAGTTTTGGCACCCTTGTTGATCAGTTGACTATGTGTGCGGATTGATTTCTGAGCTCTCTATTCTGTTACATTGGTCTGTATGTATGTCTTTATACCAGTGCCATGCTGTTTTAATTACTGTAAGCATTGTAATATACTTTGAAATCAGGAAGTGGAATGTCTCCAGCTTTCTTCTTTCCCAAGGTTGTTTGGGCTATTCCGAGGTTTTGTGGTTCCATATAAATTTTAGTATTGGTTTTTCTATTTCTGTGGAAAAAATGCCATTTGGAGTTTGATGGAGATAACATTGAATCTATAAATCGCTTTGGTTAGTATGGGCATTTTAACAATATTAAGTCTGCCAATCCATGAACACGGGATGTCTTTCTATTTATTTGTGTCTCCTTTAATTTCTTTCATCAATGTTTTGTACTTTTCAGTGTCCAAGTCTTTCACTTCCTTGGTTAAGTTTATTCCTAAGTATTTTATTCTTTGATGCTATTGTATATAAGATTGTTTTCTTAATTTCCTTTTTGAAAGGTTCATTGGTAGTGTATGGAAATGCAACTGATTTTTGTGTGTTGATTATTTGTGTCCTGCAACTTTATTGAATTTGCTTGTTAATTCTAACAATTCTTGGTTTTCTTTTCCTTTTGTTTTTTGTTTTGTTTTGTTTTGTTTTGTTTTTTTGGATTGCGATGTTTTATTGCAGTAACATGGGTTTATAACGTTATATAAATTTCAGGTGTACATCATTATATTTTGAGTTCTGTGTAGATTATATCATGTCACCACCCAAAAACTGATTAAAATCCATCACCATACACATGTGCCTGATCACTGCTTTTGCCCTCCCCCCTCCTCCCTTCCCTTCTGGTAACCACCAATTCAATATCTATCTCTATATGTTTGTTTCTTGTTGTTTTTGTCATCTGTTTATGAGTGAGATCATATGATATTTGACTTTTCCCTCTGACTTATTTCACTTAGCGTAATAACCTCAAGGTTCATCCATGTTGTCACAAACGACCAGATTTCATCATTTCCTATGGCTGAGGAGTATTCCATTGTGTGTATATACACCACATCTTCTTTATCCATTCGTCCCTTGATGGGCACTTAGATTGCTTCAAGTCTTTGCTATTGTGAATAATACTGCAGTGAACATAGGGGTGCGTATATCTTTACACATTCGTGTTATCATGTTCCTTGGATAAATACCCAGTAGTAGAATAACTGGATCACATGGTAGATCTATTCTTAATTTTTTGAGCAATCTCCATGCTGTTTTCCATAGTGGCTGCACCAGTTTGCACTCCCACCAGCAGTGTATGAGAGTTCCCTTTTCTCCACATATTCTCCAACACTTGTTAATTTCTGTCTTGTTAATTATAGCCATTCTAATGGGTGTGAGGTGATATTGCAGTATTGATTCGCATTTCCCTGATACTTAGTGATGTTGAACATCTTTTCCATGTGCCTGTTGGCCATCTGTATATATTCTTTGGAGGAATGTCTGTTTATATCTTTTACCCATTTTTTAATTGGGTTATTAGTTGTTTTGCTGTTGAGATGTAAGATTTCTTTATATATTTTGGATATTAATCCCTTGGCAGATATATGGTTTGTCAATATCTTCTCCCAGCTGTTATCTTTTCATTCTGTTGATGGTTTCCTTCGCTGTGCAGAAGCTTTTTAGTTTGATGTAGTACCATTTGTTTTCTTTTTCTGTTCTTTCCTTTGCCTGGTCAGACGTGGTACTTGACAATACGTTGCTAAGAGTAATGTTGAACAGCATGCTGCCTATATTTTCTTCTGGAAGTTTCATGGTTTCAGGTGTTATATTCAACTCTTTAATCCATTTTTAGTTGACTTTTGTGTATGGTGTAAGATAATGGTCTACTTTTCTTCTTTTGCCTGTGGCTGTCCAGTTTTCCCAACACCACTTATTGAAGAGCCATTCCTTTCTCCATTGTAGGTTCTTGGCTCCCTTCTCAAACATTAGCTGTCCATAGATGTATGCATTTATATCTGGGCTCTCCATTCTGTTCCATTGATCCATGTGTCTGTTTTTGTGCCAGTACCATGCTGTTTTGATTATTGTAGCTTTGTAGTATATTTTGAAATCAGGCAGTGTGACACATCCCGCCTTGTTCTTTTTTCTCAGGATTCCTTTGGCTATTTGAGGTCTTTGCTTCCATATAAATTTTAGAATTCTTTGTTCTATTTCTGTGAAAATTGTTGTTGGAACTTTGATAGTGATTATATTGAATCTCTAGATAGCTTTAGGAAGTATTTTAACTATGTTAATTCTTCCAATCCAATAGCATGAAATGTCTTTCCAATTCTTTGTGTCTTCTATCTCTTTCAACAATGTTTTGTATTTTTCATTGTACAGGTCTTTCACCTCTTTGGTTAAGTTTATTCCTAGGTATTTTATTCTTTTTGTTGCAATTGTAAATGGAACTGTATTCTTAATTTCTCTTTCTGCTACTTTATTGTTAATGAATAGAAATGCAGTTGATTTTTATAGTTGATTTTGTATCCTGCAACTTTACTGTATTCATTTATTATTTCTAAAAGCTTTGGTGGATTCTTTAGGGTTTTCTCTATATAAAATGTCATCCGCGAATAGTGACATTTTCACTTCTTCCTCTCCACTTTGGATCATTTTTATTTCTTTTCCTTGCATGATTGCTCAGCTAGGACTTCCAATACTATGTTAAATAAGAATGGTGAAAGTGGGCATCCTTGCCTGGTTCCTGTCCTTAGAGGGATAGCTTTCAGTTTTTCTCCATTGAGAATGATATTAGCTGTGGGTTTGTCTGGCCTTTATTATGTTGAGCTTCTTTTCTTCTATACTCATTTTATTCAGAGTTTTTATCATAAACAGATGCTGTATATTGTCAACTGCTTTCTCTGCCTCTGTTGAGATGATCATGTGATTTTTATTCGTTTTGTTAATGTGGTGTATCACATTGATTGATTTGCAGATGTTGAACCATCCCTGCATCCCTGGAGTAAATCCCACTTGATCATGATGTGTGATCTTTTTAATGTATTGTTTTATTCTATTTGCTGGTATTTCGTCAAGGATTTTTACATTGATGTACATCAGTGATATTGGCCTGTAATTTTGTTTTTTTTTGTTGTCCGTGTCTGGTTTTGGTATCAGGGTAATGTTGGCTTTGTAGAATGAGTTAGGAAGCTTCCCCTCCTCTTCAATTTTTTTGGAAGAGTTTGAGAAGGATAGGTACTAAGTCTTCTTTGAATGTTTGGTAAAATTTACCAGGAAAGCTGTCCAGTCCTGGACTTTTATTATGGGGGAGGTTTGTGACTACTCTTTTGATCTCCTTACTGGTGATTGGTCTATCCAAATTCTCTATTTCTTCTTGATTCTGTTTTGAAAAGTTGTATGATTCTAAGAATTTATCCATTTCTTCTAGATTATCCAATTTGTTGGGGCATAGCTTTTCATAGCATTCTCTTATAATCTTTTGTATTCCTGAGGTGTCCATTGTAATTTCTCCTCTTTCATTTCTGATTTTATTTATTTGAACCTTCTCTCTTTTTTCTTGGTGAGTCTGGTTAAAGATTTGCCAGTTTTGTTCATCTTTTCAAAGAACCATCTCTTAGTTTCATTGATTTTCTTCTATTGTTTTTTAGTCTCTATTTTGTTTATTTCTGCTCTGATTTTTATTCTTTCTTTCCTTCTACTGATTTTGAGCCATGTTTGTTCTTCTTTTTCCAGTTCCCTTAGGCGCACTGTTAGTTTATTTGAGATTTTTCTTGTTTATTAAGGTGGGCCTGTATTGCTGTAAGCTTCCCTCTTAGAACCATTTTTGCTATATCCCATAAATTTTGGCATGTCATATTTTCATTTTCATTTGTCTCCATGAATTTTTTGCTTTCTTCATTGACCCAATCATTGTTCAGTAGCATTTTATTTAATCTCCACATTTTTGTGGCTTTTCTGATTTTCTTCCTGTAGTAGATTTCTAGTTTCATACTGCTGTGGTCAGAAAAGATTCTTAGTATTATTTCAATCTTCTTAAATTCAGTGAGACTTGTTTTGTGGCCTAACATGTGATCTATCCTGCAGAATGTGGAGTGTTAAA